ACAGAATGGACAGGAAAGCATCGTAAATATACAATGCTTGTCTCCTCCCTCTTTCTTTCTTAATCCACACATCCTCAGCCCTGAACCAATAAGTTCATTTGTACAAATGCCATAGTCACCATTTGCACATCTGTCTCTATAATCCTTATCACTAGACATTTATACACCTAAAAACATACTAAGCAAGCACGATGCTTGGAATTCTAAATATGGAAATGAATTTAAGTTTCTTTGGGTTCCAAGAGTCATGGAATTATTTATCATATCCAAGATACATTTGAGATCTGAACTTTGGAAACTTTGAAAAAGGAACCATAATTAATTTTCTAAGGCTGTAATCCTTAACACACTTACCATTTCTTATTCATTCACCATAGATTTGCATGTGGTGTAGCGGGTAAGAGCGGTAGATTTGTAATCTGGGGAACCAGGTTCGCGCCTCCGCTCCTCCACATGCAGCTGCTGAGTGACCTTGGACTAGTCACATTTCTCTGAAGTCTCTCAGCCCCACTCACCTCACAGAGTGTTTGTTGTGGGGGTGGAAGGGAAAGGAGAATGGTAGCTGCTTTGAGACTCCTTTGGGTAGTGATAAAGCGGGATATCAAATCCAAACTCTTCTATGGTGGTAGTGCTCCTGTCGCAACCCACCTTGAATCAGGCCACAACCCACGAGTAAACATGCATATTACTGTGCTGCACAAGAACTCATTCTGAGCCTGCTCTTGTAGGAAAAGGTTATTGACTGATTTTATACCTAATATAGACATATATTAGATAATTATTGAATTAAAAGCTGATGTCAAGGCATTGAAACAGCCATGGGAGAAGCTGCCAGAGTCTGGATAAACTCTAAAATGACAGCCATTGATTCAAAGAATGGAGAAACGCTTCTTGTTGTGTCACTTTAATGAGACTGTTTTATTCTGTGTTTTAATTATGTATGTTCCTATTTTAATGTTTTCAAGTGATTGTTTTATTTTAATTATGGATGTTTTCTAAATGACAGCCTTCATCTATATGGAGGTCCTGTTTGTGTGGCAGCCAATTAAGATCAGAAAGCTTGATGCTATGAGAGATAGGGTCTTCTTCATAGTGGTCTGACAGTTACAGAAGTGCTTTCTGAATTCATTATGCTTGGCTTGTTCAGTGCAGACTTTCAAACAGGTCTTTAAAACATTTATCTTCCAGGCTTCCTTCCTTCAATGTGTTTCAGGTTATGTGAATCTGAGCTATGTATTTTCTGTGTTGAAATCTTCTGGCTTTGTTTAGACCTATGAATTACCTCTTAGCAATTCATACTTATTTGATTATCAAATTCTTGTCTATACATCTTCTTTGTTGTGTGTGCCACTTTGTGAGGTCATGGCCCTGAAATGCACACTAGAAATATTTTCAATTGATCAATAACAACGGCAGTAACTTCTACAAAAAAAGCGTTCTGAATTTTGTGAAGCAACTTATACACCAAATGGACTGGAATGTTAGCAAATTATCTGGGCATCAGAATGCAAAAAACTAGGAACAAACTTACGCTGTTTCAAAAACCATTTTGAATAAGGAACAGTTGGGGGAAAGGAAAAAATCATTTTACAAAAGACCAGAGAATAGATCAATTATCAAAGTTAATATCACATCCCTTGAATACCCATAAATGTTAAAATTTTAAAAATTAAGCACAATATAAGCTGATGTTTTGACGGAAATGGAGTTACTTTCAAATATTTTTCAGTGAAACAGGGAAATCTGAGCACATGCTAGCAACTATCTTAATATATTCTCCAGTCAAATGCCCATTCTTGATCTTCTACATGTCAATGAGTCTTCTCCAATTGACTTCCATCAAACACAGACCCCAAAAGTGCAAGTGGTATTATATTTGCCGGCTTGCACAATTTATTCACAAAATTAGTAGACTGCCTGCTATTGAGCGAATCTGAATTATTCATTGGGAATAAATTATCCAATAAATTTAGCATTTCTTTCTGTTTGCAAATGAATTAGTCCTCATTATTCCTGGGCATTTGCTATTCATAAGTGTTCACTGAATAGATTATTATGCAAACAAATTTCAACCTATGGGTGCTTCCAAAATTCTCTGCTATTTACGGTGAATTGTTACTGATCAATAAAGCACATGACTTTTTTCCTGCCTGACCCCTGGCGGGCTGAAGACAAAAATCTATTTAAACAAACAACAGAAATTTGGACAATAGCTAGGAACTGGTGAAAAGAATATCTTTCTAGATCCATTTTGAAGCAAATAATCAGTTGTGTGAATTTTACTGGCAAATTGCTCATTTCAAAGGGAGCCAACTAGTGCACGTTCACATAGGTAAGAGAAGCATATATTTACTATAGTAAGTGCATTGAAACCTCTCATTGGGAGACCTGTAACTTGCATCAATAGATGGCATTGTGCATTTACCCTTCTATAAAATGGGAGCAGTGGTATGCCTCAAAGGGATATTGTGAATGGAAAATGCAAGAAATATGGCTAAAGGTCTTTACAAATTAAAATCCCTATATAGATACGGGTGGGCAACCTATTGCCTTAGGGCTGCAGGTAGCCCTTGGCCTCATTTCAAAAGCCTTCTGCAAGTGGTGGGTTCAAAGCTCTGTCAACTTGAACAGATCATCTGTCCCTCCCCCAGTAGCCTATTGGACAGGGAGAGGAAAGAGAGAAGCCAGAGACTGAAAGGGAGAGGAGGGAAGGGGGTAGCAAAAAGAGTATGAAAGTGGGGTGGTAGAAAGGGGGGGTGACCCCATCAAACTTTGGGCTCTAGCACCACTCACTGTTGACATGTGCCCCCTCTCCAAGATTACCCCAAAAAGGAAAAAAAGTATGTTAACCCCTGATGCAAATCATAAATTGCAGCAGAAAGTATTAGTAAACATCACTTCACATTTACCTTAACCTCCTCCTTTGGGAAGAAGAGTGGGATGTAAATTCAATCAATCAATCAAATAATATTCAGACAGATCTAATAGCATACTTTTCTGATATTAGAATCATAGGGTTGGAAGATACCTTGGGGGTCAACGAGAATGCTGCTAGGATCTGCACTTTGAGAGATGGCCATTCAGCATCTGCTTAAAAATACACCCAGTAAAGGCTGGCTAGTAGGCAAGGTGAGGTAGGAAATTTTGGGGTACCATTCATGACAGGAAATGGCCAGTTATATTTGGGTGTGATGCAACCAAAGCTTAGCACTTTTAGTAGCAACTAATTTCAATAACAGAATAAAGCACGATTCAACTTGCAATAGCCCAAGATTGTAGATTCAAACCCCACGTTGGGCAAAAGATCCCTTCATTGAGGGGCTGGGCTGGATGACCCACTGGGTCCCTTCCAATTCTTTGGGTCTTTGAATCCCATATAGACTTAAACCGGGACCAAGTGTCAACCGACCAAGTGGGACTGAGTAACCCTGCATAGGACCAGACTTAATCTCTCTCTCTCATCAAATCTGTGTGTTCCACATGCAACAGAGTTCAAACGCGTTCTTTTAGCCAGAAATATATGAAAGCTTTAAATTGAGATGTATTTTGGAGTTTCAGCGCTAGGCTGGCTGCCTAAGGGAAGAAGAACTTATATATCAAATCCGCTCCCCGTTCTGCCTCCGGCCTCTTTCTCTGCGGGGTCGGTCGAGAGAAGACAAGAGACCTCAAAACGGAGGTGATTTTTCTTTACCCCGTAAAAGCAGCGAGCATTGTGCCTCCCTGGAAATCTGCGGTGATACTATGTCTCTGCTGATGTCTTCCAGTGATCCCTCGCGCTTTTATTCACGAGGTGACAGAAAAGGTCCCCTCTGAAAGAACTAAGCCCCGCAGGAGAAAAGCGGGGATGGGGATGAGGTGGGAGGCGGAGGAAGAACACCCCCCCCCCCGCATTCCCGCTTGGCGCACCGCGGAATGAATGAATGAATGAATGGCCCCTGGAACCTTCGGCTGCGAGCGCTCGGCCTCGCTCGCCCAGGCTCCTCCGGGGGCTCGCGAAGGCTAATCACTTTGTTCCCATCTCCCTCCCCCTCCCCCTCCCCTTTTAATAGACTAATGAAGCTCAAACAAGTAGGCTTAGCCCAGTGATAGCTCACGTGGCTCCCCGGCAGCTCTCCCTCGCCATTGGCCGGCGGTAATTATAGGCACACTCCCGTGAGAGCCCGGAATCCTCGGCGCATAAATTATGCAAATAGGGGAAAGTGCCGCACGGGGCAGACCTGATGCCTGGATTCATTCATTCATTCCGCCGGAGCTTGCCGGGGGGGGGGGGGCGCCGGGGGCCAGCCGCGCGAGAGAGGCCCATTGTTTTACGGGGTATATAAGATGTCTGAGGCCAGTCGTGTGCCAAACTCGTTGCTCACACGACTTGATAGCGGCAGAGATCACTTCAGAGACAAGAGGGGTCGCGTGTCCCGCCCGTCGCTTTTCTCCCCGCCGGGATCTCCGAGGAAGAGAGACCTCGGCGCTCTCGCCGTCCTCTCGCTGCTGCACTCGGGGGCTGGGCGCGCGTGGATGTGCGGACGGCCGCCCTGAGCAAGTGAGTAGGAGCGGGGCAGGCAGGAGGGATGGGCGCAGGGGCTGGGCGGGCAGAAGAGGGTGCAGCTCTGCTGGCTGGACACAAACGACAAACTTGAACTTCAGCCCTGAAAGGAAACGACACTGACGCTGGCAGAATAAAAGCTAAACATTTCTTAGTTTCTTTTCTTGACTGGGCTTTTTTAAAAAAAAAAACCAAAAAAAAAAAAAAACCCTCACATTCACACGTTATTTGTGTTTGGTGTGGATTTTTTAAAAAATACTATTTTTAAAAAATTCATTTTTAGTTTTCCTTTTTTCATAGAATTGTAAAAATGAAGGAACCCCAAGGATGATCTGGTCCAACTCTCTGCAATGCATCTCCTTATCTCCTTTTCTCTAGTTCACTTGTGGTTCTGTCTCCACTTTAGAGTTGGTAATAATGGTGCCCCCTTTCTTTTTCTCCTCTTCCTCCTCCTCACAGGATGTCCTCGGCCCTGGAGACCAGTTACTCTGACCTGGAGAGCAGCAGCGACGTGCCCTTTTGCCTCACGGACGACGAAGGCAGCCTCAGCGGCCTACAGGCCCCTTCCCTGGCCGCCCCCAAGCGTCTCGCTTCCCCAGAGCGCGGCCTCGTGAAGGGCGAGGAAGAAAAGGACCGGAAGAGGCGTCGGGGGCGCACCAAGGTCAAGAACGAAGCTGTCCTGCACACTATCAAGAAGACCAGGCGGGTCAAGGCAAATGACCGGGAGAGGAACCGCATGCACAACCTCAACGCGGCCCTCGACGAGCTCAGAAGCGTCCTCCCCACCTTCCCTGACGACACCAAGCTGACCAAGATAGAGACCTTGCGCTTTGCCCACAACTACATCTGGGCCCTCTCTGAGACACTGAGGCTGGCTGATCAGCGCCTCCAGAAACCTTCCAAAGAGATGGTCCTGCCCAGCTTCTTGAGCTCCGCAGACCCGCCCAGCCCTGGCAGTGACGCAGGCTCCTGGATATCCACTGCCTCTCCAGCCACCTCTTCCCTCTCTGCCTGCACTTCGAGCCCTGGCAGCCCAGCAACATCAGAAGACTGTTGTTATGGCCATACGGAGAACCTCTTCTCCTTCCGCTGCCTCCACAAAGACTTGTTGCAGAGTACTTCCTGCTTTGTGCAGTACCATTAGATGAGGGCGGTTTGCTCCTTGGGTGGGCAGTGCCCCTTCTCTTAGCATTGCGAAACGATCAGTGCTTGCCCCGGTGGCTTGGCCTGCTTGGGCTCTAGGCTCCCATGAAAACACAGGGTGGGGAGGTGTACTTTGGGCCTCTTCACATCAAAGCAACCTCAGACTAATGTCATCTCCAACCCAAAAAGTCAGTGATGTTAAGAAATGTTCGCATACACACCCAGATGTGTGAACAACGTAATGCATTGTTTAGGCTGGCCTCCAGTTGGCTGTCATGGAATCAAGATCCAGCTCACTAGAAGACTTTGCTCCCTTTGCTAAGATTTTCTTTCTCTCTCCCTGCCCCTGCTTTTTAATTTAAATTTTTTTTTCCTTTGCACTTTTCTGAATGTCACAAATCCCACTTTGTTTCCTTCTTTTTCACTGGCCCTGAGCTCTTGGGCATCAATATGATTTAGAAAAGGGAATAAAAGGGACAGATTTGCTGCTACAGACAAGGTGAAAAGTCAATTTTACAATTTGTAGAACTCTAATGAAGAAAAATGAGCATGAAAATTTGGTTTGAACGCCCTGACAATACAATGAAAAGGCTTAGGGAGGGCTGATTTGGCTGGGTGCACAGGGCCTCCTGCTAGGTACTTAGCTCACAAAATTCTCAATGACTCTAATTGCTGTGGATGGAGCTTTGCTTTTTTCTTGGCAGAGCTCTGAACCCTGACATGATCAGTCCCTAAAGAGGGCAGACAAGGAACTGGGTTCATGCATTATGGATCTTGACCTCTGCTGCTTCTGTCTTGTTTTTGAGTAGGACTAGACACAGAGCATTCACTGACGGGGTCTGATTCTAGCTTAATTTATTCAAGAACTTTCATTCATATGAAAATTGTATTTTTGTACATAAAGAGCTTTATTATTATTATTATGTCTGCATTGTCTTAAAATGAGATGCTGCGCTTTTTATATAAAGAAAATCTTGCTGTAAATAAATGTTGTTTTATACATTTATAATTTGGGTGCATTTGGATTTATCTTTTGTTCCAGAGGTTGTAATTTCATAAAAAGGAGCCTGCATTTGTCAGAGGAGGCGATGCATTTTATTAGCGAACAGGAGAAATTGTGTCATGGCACAAACATCTGAAATCAAATTAAAAGCAGTTATCCGGGTAGCAATAAATATACACCATAGAATTCTCTCACATCATCTAAATTTGGACACACACATAAGCTATTAATACTTACAATAAAGCAAATTAAAATTGGTGGCCATGGTTTAGCTCTCAGCATGAGGCTACCTGTGGGGATACACATACTAAAAAACAGAGTTCTCTTTGGTGTAATGAAACATCAGCTGGCAACAGATTTTCAAAGAAAAAGGGATTAAAAGGATCAATAAAAAGTGACAATTATGTAGAAAGTGGGAAGTGACAGGTGGATGCCTTAGAGCAATGGGTTTTTGAAGGCTTTATAGTTTTGCACTTTCTGAAGGGGACCTTTCTTGAAGATTTCAAGCTTTTAATCCTTCCTCTTTAGTTAAATTAAACTTTTTGAAAACTTTGGACTGAGTTTTTACAAGTAACAACTAATCAACATATTGAAATAACATGGAACACATCCCCAAACAAACTTTACATTTCATGCAAACACCTTTCAATTCATGTTTTAGATTATTGCTAATAAAGGTGTTTAAAATGGCTTTTGTTTTCTTAAGCACACAAATTATCTTTTTTTTGCTCCAGTTTGTATTGTGTTTGTTTTCTTCTTCAAGGAATTAAGGGCAGCACGCATGGGAAGCTAGCTCATTTTATCCCCGCAAAAAACCCTTTCAGATAGGTTAGACTAGAGCTTTCCAAACTTTTCATTTTGGTGACACCCTTTTTGGACATGCATCATTTCGTGACACAGTAATTCAGTTTTACTAGCGAACTCAAGGTTAAGCTAACCCCTTATAAGAGCATTCACACGACACACTGCAGCCAACACAGTAATGTGTCACGACAGTTTGGAAAGCTCTTCCTTTCTGTGTGAAGGGGGCTCTACACCACAGCCATGCTTAATTATATTACACTGATGTCCTGCATTTCCTTGGCTGTGTTTCAATGTAGCCCAAGTGGTTCTTTCCATCTTATCCTCACTACAGCCCTGTGAGGTAGCGTTATACCAATGTTTGTAATCAGCAACCACATGGGTAGGGTAATATGTGTGGTAAGTCAAAATCCAGCTTTTTGGATAAAGTGTTATAATCCTTAACCCCCTTCCCCAGCTGAAACAAAGCCATATGTGTGTGTGTGTGTGTGTGTGTGGCTTCATTTTGCTCCCTTGTTGTCCTTGTCTCTCCCCTCCCTGCTGTCAAAATATAAGTCTGAGCTCCCCAGAGAAGAAATATGCTTTCCTTCCTCCTTGTATTACTTCATAACATGGCATTGGTAAATATAAATTCCCAACCCTAGAGCCGCCTGTTCTTTGGAGCCAGTGTATGGGCAAGGAAATTCACCCCAAAATCTTCCCACTCCATAATGTTCCCACATGGTTGCATCACCCCATGGCAATGCTTTTTCACTGCAAAATGCATCATGATTAACATGAAGAGGAGAAACTGCAGAAAATGAGACCCTGGCTAAGCCTTACGTCTGAATTCTGACCAGTAGTGAATCTTAACTATGGTGAACAAAAGCGAGCCAGTTTCATCAACTATAGCTTAAATATGGTGTATTAAAACTAACCACAGTTAAGATCAACCACGGTTTGTCTGGGTTTTGATGACATGGCAGGCTGTGGTTTATAAAAAAAATGGAAACAAAAGTTTTCAGACTCCTTGTGCTACGCTGAAGGAATGAAAGGGGAGCTCACACGCTCAAAACACTATTCTCAAAGCACTATTCTCTCTATTGTGGCACATGACCCATCAAATGATGGCCTTGGGGGAAGTACGACCATGTGAAAAATCCTTATCAGAGAAGAAATAAAAATAAATAGCTATTTTGGTGGGCACTGCTTTCCTTCCTGAGGCAAGTCAATCTGTGATAGCGTGCAACTTGGGACAAACATGCTCAGTGCACCGGTATGAAAAGAGCCGGTATTGTTCAGCAGAGAAATTGTTCGTACACTGGGTAGAAGCCAAGTTGCTTTGTCTTTGTATATATGTCACTTCATGTGTGAAAAGATTGTCAGGTTGTGATCCGAAGGAGAACAAACAAAGAAACTAAAGTCTGGCCTTAGGGCAGAGAAAATAAATAAAAAATAAAGATGGATTAACCCCTATTTTGAGACCCGCAAAAGTAAACTTATGGACTTGAAAATTATCTTCGCTTTACCTCGTCCATCTTTTCTCCATTTGAATTGTTCTGCTCCCTTCCTTTTAATAGCTGGCGTAGGGTGTGCGAGACAGGATTTGGAGCTCCCATTATACTCTTTGGAAGCGAGTCAGCTCAGCCTTTTGCTTGAGAGCTTATTCCATTTCTATAGCGCAGGGTAAATCCTCTATTTGTGACTCCAGCAAGGGGTCTCTCCAATCCTGCTGTAGGTGCACGTGTCTGGGATAGAACACTGGTTTTTCTTCCCTTTTAAGCCCTCAGGAGACGCACCAGGAAGCAAGTGCCAAAAGCCCCGACTCACATCCTGCTCCAAGGAGAGCACACGGTGCAATTGCAATTCTGAACTGGCAGCTGGCTGCAGCACTGCTGAATATAACCGGGAGCGATCAAATGGATGATTGCTACTGCATGCAAGGAAGCGTGCTGAGATGGCTGTGCCTAAGAATGTTGTTTTAAAACACAGCACCCAGGCCCAGTGCAGTTCAAATAAGGACACTCAACCTGTTAACGCAGAGGAATTGGCACGACCAGCTGCTTCTCTGTCTCTCACACAAATGTCACCCGTAAAATCTATAGGTTGTACACCTGCAGAGTCAAAAAGCCTAAGATTCTGCTCAAAGCTACAGAGATATCTTGACAGCAAGCCTGCTCTCCCTAACCTCAAACACCCCGTTCGCTAAGATTGTAGTTTTGAAAGACTCCATTGGACAGATTGCAATGGGTCTGCCTATAAAGTATGTCACAAATCAAGAGAGAGGGGAGGAGAGGCTAGCAAAGTTGTAACAAAAGAAGTATTGGGCATTGGCTAAAATGGAAACAAGTGTGACGGCAGGCCTTTTAAGTGTGACATGATTTGTGGGTAACTGCAGTTCAATAATTCTATGAGAGATTTTAGAAACAGTCCGTATGTTTTTGCAAAGTATATTTATGTGATGTTGGAATATTGTTGATCCAGCATCTTGAGATATTCCTGGATTATTTTCCACATAGTTTGCAAACGTTTGAAATCCACTTGGCATATGAATTTCATGAAATATTTTTGAAAAATAAGTGTTTGTCTGTTTATTAAATCATCAGTTCAGGTCTTGCAGATATAATAAATGTATCTCAAACACAGATTTGTATAGATGTCTTGATGTATGCAGTCACAATTCATGCCCTTGAAAATTAGGAAAAATTATGTAAAATACCCTTCAGGGACTGAAATTTAGCTTATCTCCATGGAAATGAAAGGTCCTGTAAAGTCACAGGTGACCTAAGACGTACATTTTCAATATCAGAGAATAAACAAAGCATTGAAACATTAAAGATGAGTTGGCAGCTTCAATTAGTACATAACACCGCTGCATATCTCTTGACAGATGTTGGGAGACAGGCACATATTTTTTCTTATTATTTTCATTATCCTTACAGTAACAGTATAAAATGGACTATGAAATAGTATTAAAATGAAAAAGGATCCAGAGCAAAAAAATTAGATATTAGTACAATTAGAAATATTAAAAGAGTTAACAGTACAAAATTTGAAGGCAAGGGAAAGGGAAATTCAACTAAACCGACAGAGATAAGAAACAAACTAAATATGATTAGTAATACAGCAGAATAATTTGAAATGCTAGTAGTGTTTAGAAACATAAAAGAGGTAAAATGTCACACACAACAGCTACATGGTAATGCTACCATACACAG